ACCCGATTCACTCGCTGGGGAGATCTATGGGCCGAAGCCGTGTAAATGCGTTTTAAGGCGAGTGCGGGGAGTGGCGCGGGGAGCCTCAGGGGGCGGGCGCCCTCGGCTCCGGTCTCCAGTGCTGACGTGCCCCTGGCCCCTCTCGCCTCCTTTCAGCAGGGGCCTCGGCTCCGCAACTGCCACTCCTCCTCGGGGTGTTGCACAAGTTTCGAGGTCACCGGCGACCCCCCCTAGCAGTGCGCCTGGCTCTGGCCCCTGCGAAGGAGGACGGGGCGTGGTAAGGGTGTGTGTGTGTGTGTGTGTGTGTGTGTGTGTGTGTGTGTATGGGGGTCGGGGGCGGGACCTCGGCCCTGCACTCGGGAGGGCTCCCCGGGAAGGACCCTCAGCCTTTGGTCCTCGCCCCTGGAGCCCGCAAGGCGCCCCCATGCACGCTTAGAATCCTAGCACTCCAAGGCCAGCTGCCCCCCTTTAAAAATGTAGAAGCTGAGGCTCTGAGAGGGGATGGGGCGTCCCCAAGGTCACGCAGCGGAGAGCGGACTCGAACTTCAGCTCGGGTGCTGGGCTCGGCGCGGCCTCTGCAGCCTCCTTAGGGGGGCGTGGTCAGGGCTGGGGCAGCGGGAAACGGCCTCCCGAGACGCTCGGCTTTCCTGCTCCCTTACTCTCTTTCCTTTTTTTTTTTTACTAAAACTGGAAAGAATCTCCAAAACAATGCATCCATTTTATGGATGGGGACACTGAGGCTCGGACAGGCACTGACATCTAAGCCTATAATGCCGTGTCCCCGTCCAGGATTCGCGATTGTCTCTACCCTTCCCAGTGAACCCGAGCTCCCCAGGCTTGTGCTAGGGGCGTGGCGGGTGTGACAGGACTGGGCACCGTGGCTTGGGGAACTGAGGGGGTCAGCGGAGGCCAGCCTCCCCCCACCCCCCGCCCCATCGACCCCAGGCCAGCAGCACCTCCTTCTCCCCCGCAGTGTGTTGCATACTTTCTAAGGCGGCAGCGGCGGCGGAGGCAGAGGCAGCGGCGGCGGCTCCATCCAGCCCATCGGCTCCTCCTCCTCCTCCTCCTCCTTCTCCTCCTCCTCCTCGGCATGGCAGGCTACCTGAGCGAAACGGACTTTGTGATGGTGGAGGAGGGCTTCAGCACCCGAGACCTGCTGGAGGAGCTCACTATGGGGGCCTCTCAGGCCACCACGGTGAGGGGGTGCGGGTGGGGTTGGAGCCCCGGTCCCTGGTGCAGGCCCAGCTGCCTCCTCTGAAAGGACCCCTGGGGCCTCATCTTATTCTTTCACTTGCTATTCATTCCTTGCTAATTGCAAGAGCCGGACCCATTTTGTCCCCAGTTCCTGGTCCTTGCCTCCCAAACCCGCCCCTCCTGTTCCTGCCTTGAGGACAGCACCACTATCATCTACCCAGGCCCTAGATCAGTGATGGCGAACCTTTTGAGCTCGGCGTGTCAGCATTTTGAAAAACCCTAATTTAACTCTGGTGCCGTGTCACATATAGAAATTTTTTGATATTTGCAACCATAGTAAAACAAAGACATATATTTTTGATATTTATTTTATATATTTAAATGCCATTTAACAAAGAAAAATCAACTAAAAAAATGAGTTCACGTGTCACCTCTGACACGCGTATCATAGGTTCACCATCACTGCCCTAGATCTAGGTCAGAAACCTAGGAGGCCCTTCTTCTCCCACTACCCCCCCGCCCACCGCATCTAGGCATCTCCAAGTTCTGTAGTTCAGATTCCATCTCTCTAAAGGCCCCCCAACCTCTTCCTGCCTCACCCCGCCCTCCCCCCCCACTTTACCACAGCCTTGCTCAAAATCAGAATTCTTTGGCTGTTCCCAGTTGCCTATAGAATCAAGTCAGAACCCCTCTGCCTTCACAGCTCCATTTCCGGCTTATCATGCTCCATCAGAGCTGAACTACTCTGCCCTGTGTCCCACTGGTGCCATGTGCCCTATTATCACCCCTGTGCCTAGAACACTCTTTTCCCAGCCTCTTACCTATTTCTAGTCATGCCTTATTACTCACCAGGGTCACCGTTTCCTGATGGCCCGTTTTCTTTCTCCATGGCCCCAATTGCATTGCATAGAAACTTCCATCTGGCACTTATTGAACGCACTTGTAATTGCATAGGGATGTGTTCTCTTCCAGACCCTAATCCCTTCAGGGCTGGAGCCCTGCCTGGTCGTCTCTGTCCCTTGGCATAATGTCCAATACCAAGTGGGCGTCAGTTAAAAAAAAAAGTGTTGCATAAAGGGAAACAGTCCCAGCGGAGGTTTCAGCAATGTGGTCTCACCCGTAGCCTTATGCATACTCAGCCCTCAGCAAATCTGTGGTAACCAGCTGACCACAGGCATGGGTGGCAGTGGCAGTGGGACTCCCGCAAGCACCAGTATGTGAAAAGCAATGGGCTGTGGGCCACAGCTTTGGCCTCCAAGGAATTGATCTTTTTTCTGGGGAAGACAGATGCATACACAGTTGTGATACTTTGGAAGCAAGTGCAAAATGCAGTGGGAGCGTTCAAAGCAGAGCTGCCTTTTTGGATTGGGCGGAGGTAGTGTCCCAGGTGAAACTGAAGGTAGATTAGGTATTTGCCAGGCACAGTGGGGGTAGGGTATTCCATGTGGAGGGCAGGGTGGGAACAGAGGCTGGGGGGTGGGAAAATAAATAATTCAGCCTGCAGCTGGAGTTGGCGCTGCAGGGAGGGGAGGGAGGGGCTGGGTCACAGATCCTTGCATGCCGGGCTGGGGAGTTTGCCATCTGTCCTGTAGACTTGGGGAGCCCCCCCGAGAACTTAGAGCAGGCAGCTTTGTGGCCACAGCCACATTTGGGGTGGATACTTGGGAAGACCAGGGATGGCATGCACAAGGCGGGAGCTGGGAGGGGGGTCTCTCTCACATTCACCCATCTTGTTGTGCAGGGTGAGGCCACTGCCTTCTTCGTGGCCGACCTGGGCGCGGTAGTGAGGAGGCACTTCTGCTTCCTGAAGTGCCTGCCTAGAGTCCGGCCCTTTTACGCTGTCAAGTGCAACAGCAGCCTGGGCGTGCTGAAGGTCCTGGCAGAGCTGGGGCTGGGCTTCAGCTGTGCCAACAAGGTGAGCCCCTGCCCCCACCAGCACGCTGACCCTCGCTGCCTACTGAGCACACACACGGCTGGGCCGCTGTGGGTGGGCCCCGGGGAGGCAGGAGTGACCTGCAGTTGGCCCCTTGCCCTCTGGGAAGGGCCACTCCCTTGGAAGGGGCGTTAAGGGGTAAGGGAGGGAAAAACAAGCATGGAATTTGCCAGCCTTGAAGTTCCAAATTAGAACCTTGTGTATCCCTGGGGTAGATGGGTCGCCTTTTTAAATAGAGTCTTTCAAACTTCTTGGCATAGAATTATTCTTTTATGATATTCTTTTAATTAAAACAAAACAAAAACATCCTGTTATTGATGGTTTTCTTTTTTCTTTTATAATCTTAATAATATGTCACTACATTTTCTTAATCCTTTTAGAGTTTTGTTATTGTTGCCAGTTCTATTGCCTTTCAATTTTATTAATGCTGTTGTCTTAATTTTCTTTTGCTCAATTTGGATTTACTTTGCTTATTTACTATTATTCCGTATTCACTGAACTCTCCTACAATGTGCTAGTCACTGTGCTGGGTAGGGCTGACTTTAGAGTGTTGAGTAAGACAGATTCTGCTGTCTTTGAATTGAAGGCTTAGCTTACCTATTTTCATTCTGTTCTTACCTGAGAAATTTTAAGCTATAAGATTTCCTTGGAGTACAGCTTTGGATATATTTATTTACTCAGCAGACATTTATTGAACACCTACTGTGGTGCCAATTACTATTCTAGGTGGGGATTTAGCAAGTGAACAAAACAAATGAAACAACAAGAGGCCCTTTTTCATGGAGCTTGCTTTCTAAAATAAGTTAAACAATGAAAATCGATAGTATTTTAGATGGTAAATGCCATGGAGAAAATTAAAACTGGAAAAGGGAAGTAGGGAATATTGGGTGAGAATATAGCACTTTTAGATAGTTTGGCCAGAGAAAGCTTTGCTGACATTTGAGTACAGACCTGAAGGAAGCAAAATATCAAGCCAGGTGGGTAACTAGGAGAAGGGCTTTCTCTGCAGAAGCAAGTGCAGAGGCCCTGAGGCGCTTTGGTTTGTGATAGTGTCACTCCTGTCATTTTTGGTAACAGTCAGAAATGATTGTTTTGAGGGGAACCCCTTTTTATGACCCATTTTAAGCCCCTTAAAGGCGGCGATATGCCTGGGTGTTGTGAGGAGAGTTTAGAAGGGGTTTCTGGGGGAGAAAGGAGAAGAGCTAGCCTTGGGTCGGATGGCAGGGCTGGTGGGGTTCCAGGGGGAGACAGGTGTGAACCAGGGTGGGGCTGTCAGAACGAGCAGGTGAACCTTTATCATCAGAGACTGATGTTAATGTTGTTATTGACAGATGAGTTTCTCCCTCTTGTCACCCGCAAAGCCCCCTTGCATGAGCTCTTGCTTTACGCACCTAGTGCTGTGCGTGTGGTCCATAAAGCCCTGGGAGGGCCCAGGGAGAGGGGTTGCCATTTTACACTGGAGGCCGTGGGGACCAGCGAACATAGCCTGCTCGTGGCAGAGCCAGGACTGTCCCTGCACACCTGGGCCTCTGCCGCGGGCAAGGAGGAAGGGGATCTTTTCTGCCCCCTGGGTCTAGGGGTGAAGAACAGGACCGAACCCCACCGACTACAGTCTTCTGCTTCTGGAAACCAAGCTGGGGCCCTTGGCCCTCTAGCCTCAGGGGCTGGCCTCCCAGGGGAGTTAGGGCTTAGAAAGACCTT